ATTGATACCAACGGACGTTGACCAACATATGACCACTCACACAATTCTGTTGGGCTGACGCATGATAAGGGTTACACATTGCCTACATACCACCCAAGATGCATAGTAGAAGGGTGGATAGTTGCCCATAGAGTCTGCTTGATTTGACTCGAGAGGGGGTTCAACTGTCATTGCAAAACCTCTCCTATATCCTGGTCGTCCTTTGGGGTCCTCGACTGGCCAAGAAACAATATACTTAGGGTGTATCTAGTGGTATAGTAGGGATGACCCTTGGAGGTGTCCCTATGGCAAACTTCCTAAAAGGGTTGCAGATAAGTTTACTCTGTGTTTTGGTTCAGGGGTCAGCTAGAGTACACTGTTGTAGGGCTTGACTTGCGATCTTCTATGAGATTAGAGAAGGGGAGGGAAATGATATTCCCGAGCACGGACGATCCCTAGCGAGTTCACGACCCATTGGACCTTCCCATGGCTGAGTAATATAGACATCTTCCGAGGCCTCACATTCCACCTCTTTTACTACTTGAAATTTATATATAATAAAAAAATGGAATAACTCATCACTTTGTTTTTTTTTCCCCTTGTTTTAACTTTGGTGAGGAACCAACCAATCATAACACAAAGTCTCTGAGATACAATAACTCGAGAAAACCAAAAATTACAATTATGTTCACTACACACTTTTGGATATATGTAAGAAAAAATAAAATTTGGACTGTGTTTTAAACTTAGGTGGAGATCCTACTGAGGAAAGCTATAGCAGGGTACAAGTCAACAAGACACCACAAATCGAGTAACAAGGCTCCGTGAGTCGAGGAGATTCCATTGATCCATACCTCTTTATAATAGGAATTGAGACACTTAAAGTAAATTTACGGATCATCAAAAATATCAAACACATTCAAATCTTATATGTCCCGGAAAAAGTCATCCTCGTATGATCCCTCTTTGCCGACAACCTTACACTCATGGTTGAAGCCTCGGCGGAGTTCATGGTTGAGGTCCAGCGCCTCATGAACCGCTTTTGCCAGCTCTCCGATGTGACTGTTAACTAGAGAACCAAACATTAGGTTGGTGGATCCACTACCAAGGGGGTCGAGCCCCATAACAGCCAAAGATTAACTGGTTACCAAACACCACCCCTATACGAGTCTTAGGGATGTTGATAATGATGTAAGGAACGCTTATATCGAATGATCATTGGATTCTTGAACCAACCCGAAGGCGAAATACACCTCCTTATTACGGTTTGGTCAGATCCTAATAATACACATATCATACTAGCATCCCTATGGTATAAAATCAAGGTACCTAGGGTTCGGTCAGGGTTGAACCCCTGAACCCAAACTTCCAAACGTTCGGGAACCCCCAAGGACAGGTTCGGGTCGAACGTGAATTTTGTTTTATGTTTCTTTTACTTTTTTTTCCCTTAACACTATATATTTTTTGAATTTTTTCATTAAAAACAAATCTACGCAGGGAGGCAGTTTCTCTGTCGAACAATAGGAAACCCTCCCGCCACGTGTGTGTGTGTATGTGTGTGTGAGTGTGAGTATGAGTGTATATGTGTGTGCGGGGGTCGGGCAACCTCCCCTAAACTAACTAGTCAATCAATCAATAAAACAATCAATCAATCAAGAAAAAATATAAAAAAAAAAATGTGAACGTACTCGCGCACGGGCACGAGCGTGTGTGTGTGTCTCACGGGGAGGGAAGGGGGGGCAACCCTCCCCCAACTAATCAATCAATCAATCAACTGATCAATGATATAAAAAATATATATATTTTTAAAAAATGACAAATTGATTGATTGATTGATTGATCGATCGATAAGGTTGGTTGGAGAGGGGCTAGCAGGGGCGGGAGATTGTAGGGGGTGGAGATCGCAGGGGTGAAGGATTGAAGGGGGGAGGGGATTGCAAGGGGGGGGGGCGACCCCACCCCAACCAATCAATCAATCAATATATAGGGGGGCGGGGGGGGGGGGGGGGGGGGGCTTAAATGTTTTGACCCCCCTATCTTCTACGAACGTTTTTTTGTTTTAGCTTCACACAATAAAACATAAATTTAGAGGTAGGTTCTCCAAGTAGTGCTTTATCTATAAAGAGAAATTCAAAAAAATAAAAAAAATAGGGCAAAAAATTGGGTTTGGCAAGCTCCGAACCGCTGCACTAACGGGGCCCAAACCCCGACTTGAGCCCGCAAACATCCGGGGGGGTTTGCGAGCCTCCTTAAATGTTTGAGGTGAAAACCTTGACATAAATCATACAAATAACAAGTAACGAAGCAGTTCAGTCACTTAAACGATAAAATTGTAACATTATATCTAATACCTTAAAGGAAAACGCGGGTCTCGCGTGACGGGCCCACGTGAGACACCGGTGCTGGTGGCAGGGTCCCAGATGTGAGAGATGCGAGACCCGCGGCCGCTGCCACGGCCCCACACGTGAGAGCGGCTGCGGACCGGTATCGTGGTACGAATTCGCGCCGCGATTGGGTCGCCCCGGTGTGCGCCGGGTCCTGGGCAGGCGAACCAGCGCAGGGGCGGGGGCCAGGGACCGCGGGGAACTGGCTGGACCGCGGCGGTTGTTTTTTTTTGGTCTCCTGCAGCGACAGATTTTTTGGGGTGTGAAAGGGATGTGAATGGTGTCGGGGAACCTGGCAAAGTGCATCGATTTATTGTTTCGTCCTTTTTCTGGCGACGCTGCGGCCTCTCCCGAAGTTTCACGACCGCCAGAGGAGCCCTTCGTGGCGTGCAACCAGTTTTTGCATGCGCGTTGCATGCGTGGGGTTTTGTGGGTTGCGTACGTAACCGCGGCCAGTTTGCGTGTCGCTGTCGAATGCCTGCCAATCACCACTCAGCAAGCGGATACTCTCACATATATATATATATATATATATATATATATATATATAGAGAGAGAGAGAGAGAGAGAGAGAGAGAGAGAGAGAGAGAGAGAGAGAGAGAGAGA